CAGAGACTATCGTTGTGGACACCCCTGGCAATAAAATCCTAACTTAGAACTTCTTCTTCCTTGTCTAAATCAATCTTTAGACTGTCCGAATGAAGCAGCTTTTTGGCTTTGTCCTTGGCCAGAAGTAAGTCGTTATCAATACATGTTTCTGGTAAAAGCCAACAAACCAGCAGATGGGCTAAGCCAAGGGTAGGCAACCTTGGCTCTGTTATGACTTGTGGACTTCAACTTCCAGAATTCCTGAGCCAGCCATGCTGGCTCAGAAATTCTGGGAGTTGAAGTCCACGAGTCATAAAAGAGCCAAGGTTGCCTACCCCTGGGCTAGGCTTTGCATCTCTCCACAGCATGTTGTGGTCCGCTAAGAGCCTCCACCTGAGCATATTGGTTTGATGCTTAAGAGCTCCAATCCTCAATTTATTCATGGTCATCCAGGTTGTATAAGGAAGGTTGGATCCTTCAGCGATATCCTCCTTTAATGTTGTTCCTTGCTCGATGGTTTCCTTCCTCCATCTTTTGATTCAATTTTGTTCTAGCATACCCTCAAGGATGTTTGTTCTTGCCATAAAGCTTTTCCTAGATCTCAGTTGGCAGGTTTGGGGCATATGTCCATTCAGAGGATGTTGAGGACCACTCTTTTGCTTAGTTGTCTCGGTGTCTCCTGATCTTAGGTGGGGCAACGCCAACGAGAGGATATATTTTCTTGACATTCTGTCACTAAACATACTGCTTCATTGATATCAATTTGTTTCACCTATGCTAGTGATGGCGAACCTTTTAGAGACCGAGTGTCCAAAAACCGCCCTGCCCCCCGGCCCATCCCTGCTCTGCCCCCTGGCAGGGCCACTCACCACAGATTGCCCAGGCTGCTTTGCAGTGCCATGGCGGCCATGCCCTCCACCCGAACCCCATAGCATCATCTGCACGTGATGGGGCACGAGGGCGGAGTCTTGCCCCTGCTGCCCGGCTGCCATGTGCTTGGCTGCACTGCTCCGCGTGGGCCACGCCTGGGGGAGACTTTCCTCCAGGCAGGCTACTGGTGAGGAGGGGGTTGCGGGGGGAGGCAGGGCTGGGGCAACAGCTCGCGTGCCCACAGAGAGGGCTCCGAGTGCCACCTCTGGCATGCATGCCATAGGTTCGCCACCACTGACCTATGCAATGCACCCCATATTAGAATAGCATACTCTGCTGCAGAAATGCTGAAGGCCAAAGCTGATGTACACAACATAGATGGCCGAGTTCCCCATGTATAGTTTATCAATTTCCAGACAATATTGTTCCTCGAGCTAACTTTATCCTTAGCACTAAAGTTAGTAAATGGCTCAAGTACATACTTATATAGGCTTGGCAATCATATTGCTACACTGAGACATAATGCAGCTTGTGTGATTTTAATTCAGAAAGGGGTGTGGGCCCAAATATTTTTGTATGCAAACCAATATAAGGTTTAGTGTAATTATTAAATTTTTATCTTCCCCCTTTGTGTATGTATATGTCTGTCTGTCTGCCTGAAAGCAGCTAGCATCCCTAATACTCCTGCGTCCCATTTTTCCTCCAAATACCCTGTGAAATGGATTGGACTGAGAGAGAGGGACTGGCTCAAAGTCACCCAGCTGGCTTTCATGCCTAAGGTGTGGGGGTGGGGGGTAGAACTCAATCTTTCCTGGTTTATAGGCCAGGACCTAAACCACTACACCAAACTGGTTCTCTGTTATGTGCCTAAGGCTACCATGGTTAGTTCCACAAACCACCCTTAATCCTATATATGAACTAGCACAGCCATAGTCTCCAAAACAAAGGTGTATGGAGGATAGAAAGCACAGGTTTTATCTATGTAATTGAAGTATTCTAGTATAGTGCACATACGTACCTGGCTTGGATCTTGTTCTTCCAGAGGCACATTTTTATTAGGTGCTCCTTCTGCTGAAGGCAGAGAAACTGTTAACTTCAGTGTCTTCATTCCTGGCAGACTGAGTTCATGGCTCTTAATATTAAGAACACTCTGTCTCACTGAAATGTAGAAAAGGATAGCTATAATTTGACCTAGTTAATCTTATATCAAAAAGAAACTATTGGGTAAAGGTTGGAATCCAGAAACAAAGTAAGATGGTTTAGATTACAGTACAATTAGTTGGGAAATTACAGTACAATCAGTTGGGAAATTCCCTGAGACCGAATACAGCTACTTTCTATTTCCAATCTGTGGAAACATATAAGACTACATTATAAGAGAACCTTTTGTCTTTTAAACATTTTCTAGCTACATTACAAGGAACAGAAGATATTTACAACTACATCAACTCACAAATAAATTGAAAATTCAGTAACACTTCAGGATTACAGTGAACAGTATATTCTAGTAATAATATGTTTTCAAGATATTGAGTCATTAAAACGGGCAATCCTATTTGAGATTATACTGTAGATGTGCTGGAATAACAGTAAATATAAACTTTAGCAGACTAACAAAATACAATTCCTGGAATCAGTTTCAATGTGTTAGTAGCAAACAAATACAAGGAAATAAAGAAAGGGCCAAAAGAACTATATAAACATCTTCAGCATTCAAAGGTTACTATATTTTCAGGATGATTTGATCAACTACATTTTTACACTTATTTATTTCCCTTCCACCTTTATTATTTTTACAATAACTCAAGGTGGCAAACATTGCCAACACATCTTCCTCCTCCTATTTTCCTCACAACGGCAACCCTGTGAAGTGAGTTGGGCGGAGAGAGACTGGCCCAAACTCCCCCAAGCTGGCTTTCCTAGATAAAGCAGAATTTGAACTCACAGTCTCCAGCTTTCTGGCCGATACCTGAACCCCTAGACCAAATGAAACACGCATGTTTTTCTGACGACTGCAATATCCCCGATTAAAGGGGGGGGGGGAAAGCATGTAACAAATCTTAAGGTAAAGGTAAAAACGAAGTGTGCTTGGCTACGTTTAGAATCCGGTTTGGTTTCGTCTACCTTATTGTCCGCTTCTCATTCTAGTCGGGAGCGGAGGGATTCCTTGGGCGTCTCTCGTCCAAGCCACTATGCTAGGGGCTGTATGAGTTTGTTGGACTAACTTCCCAATATTCTTCCGAAAGGGCCTGTATCGCATCTCTTCTCCCCCCGTGAGAAGCGAAACCCAACCCTACCACACCTACCGTCTTCCTGAGCGAAATACACAGTTATCTGCTCTTCTCTGCCGGGATCCACGTGGATCTTGCATTCCCCTCCTCCCGATCTCTTCGGGCTTTGGAAGAAACAGAGGAGCTTGTTTTTCAGAGTTTTGCTCAGGCTGCAATCCCAGTTCCCCTCGACCACAAGCGGAAAGCGGTAAACAGCTTCGCCCTCGGCCATCTTCCTCCGGCTCCTAAATCGAGACCGACTCTCATGTTCTACTTTCGATTTCCCTTCTCCGCTTGGCCACGCCTCGCGAGGCTTTAGGCGCCGGCTTTCTCCAACCGAGCGCCCTCTAGGCAGGTTGAACTCTGGAACACCCATCCCTTCAAGTCCAGCCAGTGCGACCGATGGGATTTGTATTCCAGAGCACGCGAGGGCCATTGGTTGGCTACTCTTGGGGTACGCCGTGGGAACTGAGTCCTGTTTAATTCGGTTGGGGGTGACTTCTAAGCATTCAAGACTGGGCCTTTAGATATGTTCTATCTAAACTCTGTCAAAGAGATACTGTAGTACAGGGGTAGTCAACCTTGGCTCTTTTATGACTCGTTGACTTCAACTCCCAGAATTCCTGAGCCAGCTAAGCTGGCTCAGGAATTCTGGGAATTGAAGTCCACGAGACATAAAAGAGCCAAGGTTGACTACCCCTGCTGTAGTACAAGGTAGTCCTTGACTTACAACAATTCATTCAATAACCATTGCATTCAATGACATCACTGAAAAAAGTGATTTTTGATGGCTGCAGTGTCCTGGGACCATGTGATCACCTTTTGCGACCTTCTGACAAGCAGAGCCAATGGGAAAATTAGATTCACTTAACAACCGTGTTACTAACTTAACTGCAGCGATTCACTTAACAACCATGTCAAAAAAGGTTGCAAAATAGGGCAAAATTCACTTAACAGCTGTCTGAGTAATAGAAATTTTGGGCTCAATTGCAGTCGTAAGTTGAGGACTACCTGTACTGTGATTAAATTTAGAACGAGCATCTGAACACGGACCAACGTTACGTCAGTTCTTCTGGTTTTTCAAATTAGTCAGTATTTCATTCACCTGCTCTGATATTTCACTCCATTTATTAAATTTATATGTTGAACTCTCCAACACCCACCCCTTCTTCAGCCAATGCCCAACTCACACATAGGTGACTCTGAGCAGCTTACAAAATTACAAAATGTAACACTATATGATTAAGGCAATCAAAACAGAATGTACTACTGTAATACACTTTAGATGGGACTGCTTTGAGGACCATTGAAAAGCTGGAATCGGTGCAGAATGCAGTGGCTTCCATGCTGCTGGATGACAGCTGCTACAGATATATAATATCAGTGTTGTGGGCCATTTGTTCATTCCCAATAGGCTTATGAGTATAGTTCAACTCTTGGTTTTAGTTTTTAAAGCCCTGCCAACATCATTTGGCTCCAAGGTACAGGTAATCTTCATTTAACTACACTAATTTGTACTGGAAAGTCCATTGTAAGTGAGAAACTACATAACTGCCCTGCACAGCAACCGTCTCCTGTGTGCATTTGCTACTGGATCTCTGCCTGTCCCATTCAGCGCTGTTCAATCGAACAGGTCCGCAGATAACGCCAGCAATCTGATCGACAGCAGAAGTGCACGTAACGTAGCTCTTAACCTTGGCCTTTCTTCGCGCACCCTAGAGGCTCTGCTCCTTCTATCTCCGCCCCTCTGGGCCGAGGTGTGACCAATAGCATTAACTCTACCGTAATTCCGTGATTTCCCATTGGCTGTTTAGGAGCTGCACGCTTTCGCTCCGGCTCCGACACCTTGGTGATACGGGACTCGGGAAGAAGGAGGCCAAGATGGCGGCCGCCTCGGCGGCACGGGAAGTTTTCCCTTTTTCCAGCCCGTTCTCGGCTTTCCTTCTTTTGGCTGAGCTGCTTTTGCTGGCTCAAGCCCCCGCCTTTAACATCGCCTCTCCCTTCTGTCACCATCACATCCCCAGTGCCAGGGAGGTGAGGATCCTAGGGGTAGAGGGAGGCAAAATAGTCCGAAGAAGGGAAAAGATGGGCTGAACTGCGGTGCTTAAGTCATACGTTCCATTTTTATATGTTTTTTGCTTGCTCGTTTAAGTGTAGCAGTGTTCAGAGCTGCTTCCATCGTATCTGTGACTTAGTTGACCGAATAGCAGATTATTGAGTCAAATTGTGGGGGGGAAAAGTCACTGATAGAAGTACAGCCACATTTCAAAACAGCGTTTCCGGGTTCGTGATACATGGGTTGCGAAAGAAAAGGCAGAAACAGTGTTTTTAACTGTTTATTCTAAATCAATGCAGTCCTTGGTAAATTGCTTGTTGAAGGAATAATCCCAAGCCAGTTTACCTGAAAGTTAGCCCCCTTACATCTTTAGTACTTTTCATTGTTGGATTCGATTCACCAGTATGCTTTTTATTTGCCAGATTATGGTTCTGAACATTTTGCAGGCGTTTCAGAGAAAAATATTTTGAAAATACAAGATTGCCTTTTAGAAACTTGGCAAATAACTTCAAAATTGTAAATGTGAAAATCACTTGAAATTGGTTCGTAGATCTGTTTCAGAAATGTTGCCTATACTTGTGGTGAATAATATAAAATAGAAATAATAGAAGATTCAGGATGCACAACCAAATAATAAAATAAAGCTTTTACATACAATCTATCAGATTAAATATGTTTACCTTTCTATATTCCTCAAACATGATAGATTTTAAGATTTGTAAAAGTTTAGTTACAAAAACAGTTTTATTAAATGAACCTATTCTCCAAACAGGTTATTTACAAAGTTTATCTTAAAGAAAATCGAGTTATGAAAAGAAACATTAATGAACAACTAAGAATTAAGACTGTATATGACAGAAGTGTTGAAGAGTAAGTATAATAACAACCTTCCAAAATTATTATTGTTAACTGGAATAGCTTTCAGTTTCCCTATCTGAACAAGTAACTAAAACAAATGGTAACCAGTAGGAAAGGGAAAGGGAATGGGACACACCTAACTTTATAGGAAGTGAAGTAATTTGTAATTTGTGTAGTAACAATGCTTTATGAAGATTAAAAAAATGTCTACTAACTGCTCTCTCTATTCATAGATTGCTCCCTGAAAAAAAACAGCTTATAAAGGTAATTTACTTCTTGCATTCTGTTTTCTTATATGAAATTAATTAATCTAGGCTAAAGGTCTATGTGATGTATACTTTCAAGATTGCATTCTAATTTGCCTAACATCTATAAATGTTCTAGAAAATTAGGGCAGATATAATTCACCCATAATGCTAAGTCATAATGTAGTTTCTTTGTTTTTGGTTTAAAACAATCCATGGATTAGATCATTCTAATGAAGCATAGATATAATATTTCCTTAATCATGATTAACATGTCAACAATAAGATACAGGCTCTTATTTTCTCATTTCCTTTCTTTACACCTCACTTATGCAAATTCCATTTTATTTAAGTCCAGATTTAGCAAAATTCACTATATGTTAGGATTAATTTGTTTCTATCCCAGAGCTGAATCTAACTTTAAAAAGAACTTTTAGGATTTCTTCTGAAGTTCCCTTCCCCACAAAAAAGTTTGTTTCTATAGATATAACTATAGTAACCTCTTACCATCTGTAAGTTTATCATATGCAAGTGTCAGTATCTGTAGGGATTTTTCTGTCCATCAGTTTTTCCTGAACAACTCTCCAAAATTTGACTATTTGCAAAGTCATAAACATCCGTCTGAGATGATACATAATGGATGCAAAGGTTTTTATCAGAGTTGTATGGCTGATTTCATTTCAACTCAGATGTTAGATGGAACCTAGCAGGTTAGTTTGAAAGCTTGAAGAAATGGTCTAATTTTTACAGCATAAAATTGACCAGAGATCAATGAAATATTCAAATCTTTTCTGCCAGATTAAAGTGAATTCCCATATCATCAGGTTCAGTTACATATTTGAAGAATGCAACTAGTTTGGCTGATGAACAAAAGTAGATAGGCAGCTATTCATTCTTCAAAACTTTTATTTCAACACCAGAATCTGTGCCTCAACTGTCTACTTGTAGTAGATTCAGCATAAAAAAAACCCATCAGTAAAGTAATAATATTTTCAGAAGTGCCAGTATTCTAAAGCATACAGTATGCTTTTCTGGATTATTGTTTTTTTTATAATTCCTTCTTGTTTTCTGATTTTACTATTTTACTTTATTATAGGTGTGACATAATATCTTTGAGGTCTTTTATCAGGTGGAATTGTTTCCCTTTCCTAAGATCTTAAGTTTACCAACCACAAATTATCCAACTATGTCAGTTTTCAAGAACAGAACTCTTGGGATTGGCAAGGGGTTACTGTAACTTTTTAAATAAAGCTAACTTTTTCTATTGAGTTTATGGCTGTGAAAATATGATTAGAAAGTCATTACGGTTTTGACTTAAATCTTTAGAAGGAATTTTTTAAAGTATCAAATCCTTTTTTTATTGTTTTATTTTTCTTTTGTTTAGAACAAGCTTTTCCCACAAGCTATTTCTTATTTAGAGAAGGCATTTCAAGTTCGGAAACCTATGGGTACTGTCCTGTTAAGTAGGTATGTATATTTTTCAGCAATTTTAATAAGGAGAATCAGTGAGATCTATTTTTACAAGTACATTCCATATGTCAGCATATTATTATTCATCTCTGGAAGAGAGCAGCTCAATTTTAATTAGCAAAAACATTTTGACAATACTTAATAGCTTTTGCAATTAGGGTATTGTTTTGTGTGTGACTGTTGTGTGCATTCATCTCACTCACAAATATGTGATTATGATTTAATTGAAGACAGTGTGTAACAAACCAGTATTTAAGGAAGAAGGATGATCCTCATAGATACTGTCGAGAAGCCTGTGCAGAACATACCAAGTGTGGGCCAGTTATAGTCCCTGAAGAACATCTGCAGGTAACTCAGACTTATTTTATGATTTGTAGATCAAATCACACAGGAATATTTATGCCAACAAAATATGCAAATATAGTAGTCACCACATTTCCTTCTAATTGGCAAAACTTGCTAAAAAAATGCTAAAGCACCTATATCAACTTGATTTGCCTGATACACTTTGAATGTCTGTAATACGGCAATTTACTCTTACAGTTACCTTTTGCGCAAGACAAAAGGAAGACGGCTGTGCTATGACACCTGAAAATTTTTAAGGTTTTTTTTTTTACAAAAAAACCAGAAACCTAGAGAAAATACGATAAATCTGTATTTGAATATTACATTCCTCCTTTTTCAGCTTTCTTTATGAACTTTGGGGATGGGGAGAAACAGACTCAGGCTCAACCCTTCCAAGACTGAGTGGCTGTGGTTGCCGGCTCCCAGGTATGGTCAGCTGACTCCATCGCTGACTATAGGGGCGAAACTTTGGCCCCCTCGGAGAGGGTACGCAACTTGGGGGTCCTCCTGGATCCACGGCTGACACTGGAAGACCAGTTGGCGGCTGTGGCCAGGGGGGCGTTTTACCGGGTGCGCCTGGTGCACCAGTTGCGGCCTTTTCTGGACCGGGATGCCTTGCGCACAGTCACCCATGCTCTTGTCACCTCCCGCCTGGA